AAAAAAAAAAAAAGAAAAAGAAATACTTAAAGAGATTTTGCGGGTGCCTGGGTGGCTCAGTCGGTTGGGCGACTGCCTTCGGCTCAGGTCGTGATCCTGGAGTCCCGGGATCGAGTCCCGCATCGGGCTCCCTGCTAGGCAGAGAGCCTGCTTCTCCCTCTGCCCCTCCCCCCTCTCATGCTCTCTGTCTCTCTCATTCTCTCTGTCTCAAATAAATAAAATAAAAACAGAAGGAGATGCGTCCCATTTCCAAGGAGCCCACTTCCGGGTGCCAGGTGTGCAGCACGCTGGCGGCTGAGGGCTCGGTGTTACGGCCATTCCTGGTGAGGTCCTGCTTTGTTACTGCCCGGATGAAAAGGGCAGGGCCTACCTGCCGATGTCGACGCCTTTCCTCTGAGAATTAACGTCGTTTTCTTTTCCAGAGCAATACAAGCTGCTGAGCGACCACATTGAACAGATGGCCATCGAGTAGGCAGGCCGTGGGAGGTCGCCCAGAGCACTCTCCAGGAGGACTGAAGGTGCACACCCCTTTCCTGGGCCAGCGACTGGCTGTCACCCCACCTGAAGACCCTGCATGACCTCGGCAGCACCCAGAGCTGCTCCACACTGCCCTAGAACTAGCGGTTAGAACAATCTGGTTGCCCGTCTCCCCACCTCCCTTCTGCCTTGTCTGCTCCCCCCACCCGCGTGCCATAGGGTCCCTGGGGTTACACGATAAAACCAAGGTGACTGCCCCTACTCCTGGGTGTCAGGCCCGCGACAGAGGACCGAGCAGGAGGCGGAGGAAGGACACCAGGGCCGAGGTGGGCCCAGGGCAGCACCTGCTGCAGCTGCCTGTGGGAGAGGGAGGGGGTGGGGTGCCCGTGGGAATGCAGGTGGGGGCATCATGAGCTGGCACACGCCAATGACATGGGTGACAGTCTGGGACCCTCTTCTTCAGCAGCGGGATGGAGTAGGGATACTCCGCCAGTCGGGGCTCCTGCTGAGCCACAGCCCTGCGCAGGGGGCGGTGGGCCTCCCTGGGCAGCCTGGGTCAGTCCGCGGCTGCTGCTGGCCCCGCCAGCTCCCCACTGTGTGACCGGAACTGGAGTCACAGGAACCGCTAGGAGGAAAGAGACACTTCCTATTTTAGGGAGGGAGAGAGCCCAGTGCAGAAGGCCCTGGCTGCAGAAGGCCCAGCGAGGGGTGTGAGCGCCCCAGAGGCCTCGTGGGATCTGCGTGGCTGCTTGGGACTCACACCAGCACCGAGGTGTCAGTGTCAGGCCATCTGAAATGCTCCTGGTCAGCTGACGGCTTCCTTCTGAAGCAGAGAGAGTCCTGCACGCCGTCCCTGGGAGTAGCACGGGCTGTGTGCCCGTGAAGAGGCACCAGAGAAGTCTCTTCAGTAGCTGCAAGACAACCACCCTTTCTAAAAGCAGACACTGCTGTTCCGTATTTCAAGGAAGACAGAAAAATCTGCGTCGGTATTAGACAGCGGGGCAGAGGCGGCTTCCCGGGGCAGTTGCATGAGGCTCATGGGCGGAGCGGCCATGCGGCATGGGGCCCTCCGCCCCCTGGCAGCCTTGGGAAGGCGCCTCTGCCCCCCTCGGCCCTCGCCGGCTGACCGCTGTCCTGCACACTCTGCAGATACCCCTCGTCGTGCATCCGGTGACCAGGAACCCTGGCTTTTCTCTCGGGGTTTGTCCCGGCTCGAGAGGACTGACGTGTGACAGCAAGCAGCCAGCATGCGGCTCCTCCGGCCTGAATATTTCCCCGTCCGCCCGCTTCCCTCTGCCTCACCCCTCGCGCTTGGGCACTGACCTTGAAAGTAGGCCCCGGGGGGCGCTCTCCTTCATCCTCCCCTCCTGTTTCCCTCTCTACCTCCTCTCCTCTCGGTCATTACATTACAGTCTCCTCTGGAGCACAGCAAAAACATGCCTGGTAGTCACTCACCCGGCCAGTGCTGGAACGCTTTCCCTCATGGGATGCCTCCCTGGAATGTTCCAGAGACGAGCTGTAGCCGCACGTCTCGGTGAGGACAGGAGAGGTGACGTGAAGCATGGTGTGATGGGAGTGGGCGTGAGGATAGGAGAGGTGACATGAAGCATGGTGTGATGGGAGTGGGCTGGTGTCCAAAGGCTGGATCCCAAAACTCAGCTTGTTTTTATGATGGCATCGTGTGTGTGTGTGTGTGTGTGTGTGTGAGAGAGAGAGAGAGAGAGAGAGAGGTCAGCCTATCTGGCAATATCACCAAACAGAGCACAGCTGTGTTGCTGGGGCAGGTCCCACAGACTGCAGGTCCCCCCCACCCCCCGGCCAGTGTTGGGCCCCAGGGACAGTGCATGCCTCTACCGAATGCATTTCAGAGAAATAAGGTCAAATTAATGAGTATGTGGACCCTCTTCCAATGCCTATTTCAGATAAGGCATCCCCTCCTAAAACGCTCAACTGTGACCCCTGAATCCGTTGTGCTCCCCTCCCTCTCTGTAGAATCAGGGCCGCATGGGGAGGGGGGCTGTCTGAGGCCCCTGCAAGGCTCTCCTTTCAACTGCATTATCATTGGCTTTATTAGTCATTTCTCAGTAGTTAATTGAAATGCGTTACAACTTTATTGTAAGGTGCCCCAAAGACTTATCCTTGTATATATCAGATTTTTGTATAGAAGCCTGATTCTGATTTCTGGAGGGGGTGAAGTGGGTTCTGAGGCTCTTTCCAGAGTGCCAGGGAGTGGGCGTGGCCCTTTCCCCCTGGGGAGGGGCCGGTAGGACCCCTCCGCCTTTGGAAGGAAACACCCCTTTGACTTCTTGGGCTTTTCCAAGCACTTTAATTTCAAAACTGATATTGAGACGTTGATTCCCCCCCGTAGGCCTCTTGAAGTAGCAGTTGGAGGTGGAAGCAAGGCCTGCTTAGGGTTTTCTCCGCCCCCGCCGCCATTGCTTGTTCTTCTGGCTGGGCAGAGTGGGGTTGGGCTGCCGGGCTTGCCTGGACCGTGCCAGAGACCTGGACCCTCCTCAGAGGTAGCATTTCACCTCACAGTGCCTCTGGCCGGTGTCACTTGGAGGAGTCCCGTCCCTAGAAAGAAGGCTGGCAGCCTGCCCTACTGAGGGTGCCTCTGTCCCTGGGACTCGGTCTCTCCCCCTGGGGGCCTGGCCAGAGCAGACCGACGTGGGACATCTCAGAGGTCCCAGCGTGCGGAGAGGGCTCCCTCTGGTGCACACACAGGGACACGTTGGTGTGAGAGCCCTGTGAACCCTTCCTATAAACTCAGGAACAGTAGACTCAGTGCAGGAAGGGTCGGATCATATCCTAGAAGAGAGCTTCCCGTCCCGGCAGGTAGAGTGTCTGAAGCCAGGAGCTCTGAAGGCTCGCCCTTCAGCACTGGTGTTTCAGACTTTCTGCTGGCTGTCCTCCGGGGCTGTGGAAATCCCAGTGAGCCAGGACAGCTAATCCTCTCAAATAAAAAGTTCCTGCTTGGAAAACAGGATGATGTTGAGATGCAGCTTTTGGAGGTGGGGCTGGTGCTGAGGGAGAGCGAGGGAGAGAATCCCAAGCAGGCTCCACGCCCAGTGGGGAGCCCAAAGCGGGGCTCAGTCTCATGACCCTGAGATCATAACCTGAGCTGAAACCAAGAGTCGGATACTGAACTGACTGAGCCACCCGGACGCCCCAAGATGCAGCTCTGTGTTTAGCCTTTGTTTTAATTTTAGCAATATTGGTAGATGTGTAAGGGGGGGGCACGTTAATATTCAGATTGCATCTGCTGTGTGTGTGCATGTGTGTTTAACCAAAGGTAGGAGAGCAGGATTCCGATATCCTAAGTTATTTGTACAGTAAAATGGAGTGAACTATGATTTTCCTGTTGCCAAAAAAGGGGGGAGGGTTTGCTAAGAAGTTCTTAAGTTACCAAAAGGAGGACCAGAAAAGAGTCCCGTTTCCTGAGTTCTGTACCCAAATTAAAATCTAGGATGTTCAGGTTAGCCCGAGAGCCCAACTGGGGGCAGGTCAGCCGGTGAAACCCCCCAAGCAGATGTGGACAGAGGCCCAGGGCAAGAGCCAGGCATGCCTCCCTTTTCTCTGTGCTCCTCTGCGGAGTCGAAACCAGTGTGTGCGCTACTTCTCCAAGCCCAGCTAGACCGCAGAGTTCATTGCCGGGGAGAGGAGACCCAGCCTTGGAGTTTGCTCCCCGACGGAATGTTTTATGCGACTAGCTTGTGCCGCGGAGTGCCTGGCATTCCAGACTCCGGATGCAAGGCACACCACGAAGGAGTGTGTGCGAGGCTCTGTCTAACCCCCGTGACCGTGACCACCAATCGGGGCTGAAAGCTGCAGACCTGACCCTCCTGCTCGTTACAGCCACCTAACGGTGGGCTTTTATTTAGGGAGGATCCAGGTGAGCCCGTGAGGTTTGATCAGTTTTGTTACCAGATTACCTAAAACTGGAGACACTTGGCAGCTGGGGTGGGGGGTGTGCGGGAGTCCTTTGCCCAGAACAGTGAGGAAGCTTTGGAAGAAGAATTTGTCGTCCAGAGTGGGGAGGCCGGGTGCAGGGGAGCGAGGTCCAGCCCCAGCCTCGGGAGAGGGGGGTACAGCGCTCAGACCAGCTCAGGCAGCTCTCTTCTCTCCCCATCTTCAGTCAAGGACCAGCTGCCGGGTGGGGGTTCCTCCTGCCCCCTAGTCCCCCAGCCTTGTAGTTCTGAACCCTTACTCTCATGTCTCTCTGCTTCCCCCTGGCTTCCCTATAAATCATTTATTCCTTATGACTCCCGGGGATGAGTTTCACCAAAAAGGGAATTGCATCGGCTAGAAGCACCCCTAATTGAGTAATGTGCAATGTTCAGACCTCGGGCAAAGCCACACAGGCCATATGTCCCATACGTCCTTGTCGTCGTGGGGCTGGGAATAGGGGGTGTGTTGTTCACCAGATAACAAATGGAGGAGTCCTTTTCAGATTGTTCACCTTCAGCAAATATACTCGATGCTAAGACCATCCTCCATGGCAGCCTCTGGTGGGCTTCATCGGTGTCCCTTGCTGTCCCTGGGCCCGAGAGTCTCACACTCCTCGGGGAAGGATGGAAGGGTCTCGTGGGGGCCGGCATGCTCTGTTCCTTGGCGCTGTCTTGTGCTCCCCTAGTCAACCAGAGCCCGGGAATGGAACCCCACCCCAGCTGTGTCCAGGGGACTCCCATGTCCCCAGGATTCCAGTGGGGCACTGTTCCCCCGTGCGGGCTCTTGGTTACTAACAGAAAGGGATAAACTTGTGATTTCCAGAAGAGCGTCAGGATGGTCTGGGTTTGCCCATCTTCCCGTCACTTCCACACACACCTGTCACAGGGTGTCCGAAGTTGGGGGAGAACTCGGATCGTCGCCTAACCCCCAGACTCCAAGGCTTTGACAAGGCAGAGTCAGAGCAGAGCCCACCACCACCTGGAGCCCTCCTGAGCTGCCCCTGAAGGGGTCTGCACTTTAGCTAAAACGGACCACCTATTGGTAAATCCCCCTTGACCCAGAGGTCAGTCCTAGAACTGGGGGGCTAGTACCTGTTCCCTCCTTGGACATGTGCTCGTGAAAACAGGGGAAGAAGGTACTGCGGGTGCTGTCCCCGCACGTCAGCTCTGACAGGGGCGGGGTCCTATTCTCTTCTGTGCCAGAGACAGCGTGGGTTAGCTTCCTCCGTCCCTGCGGTCGCGAGCGAGCCTGGGGCTGTCACTCCTGTAAGGCGCCTTGAAGAAGACAAGCCCAACATTTGAACATTAGGAAAT